GGCGGCGCTGGACGCAGGGAGTTTCCCCCGAAAACTGCGGGAAAGCAACGCGTTTTCTTACTCTCTGGCCGTCTAAACCGAGTTTTACCTTACAGTGAACGTCTTGGGCCCTTCTGAAAGGGGGGACTTGGAGTTGCTGAGGCCCCTTGAGTGCCAGCACGATGGTTTGAAGCGGTGGCAACGCGCACGCCCGGGAAAACAGGTGAGAGTCGGTGCTGTGTCTAGAGAAGGAGTAACCTCCCGGGCTAATGGCTTTCTTACTCTCTGGCCGTCTAAACCGAGTTTTACCTTACAGTGAACGTCTTGGGCCCTTCTGAAAGGGGGGACTTGGAGTTGCTGAGGCCCCTTGAGTGCCAGCACGATGGTTTGAAGCGGTGGCAACGCGCACGCCCGGGAAAACAGGTGAGAGTCGGTGCTGTGTCTAGAGAAGGAGTAACCTCCCGGGCTAATGGCGTTAACGCCTGCGCTGCCTCTCCACAGCAGATGAAAGATTAACCTGTGCACAGATTATCTTGCATTACGATATTATGAATGGATTAAAACTGGCACTCGTATAGTGGGATGTGTACTGCCTGACTGCAGGTTTCCTCCAGTCTGAAGTGCAGCATCCAGTATAGGAAGACCAGATCCACGTGGCAGGTGAAAGATGGCTATTTTAAGTTGTACTGTGAGATGTGTTCAGAGTTTTCGAGGACGAAACGTACTCGTGCAGGTGACTACTGAAACTGCAAATCCAGGTGGGCTTGTAACAGTTCAGCGGTAGGTAGTGGGCGCACACCACATTACAGAAAATGCTGCCAAGTATTCTTAACTATTCTGTTCTCCTTCCTACTTTTCAGAAGACACCTATCTCAAAAATGTTCATTAACTCAGACAAGCTGGTAATAAAAAGTCAAATTAAAGACAAATGAGTCATATTTAACAGATCCTAAGAAGCTGCTACTTCTTATAGCTGCCTTAAGTTTTTTTCACTGCTGCTGTTGAGAATACTGACGCTATTTCTCACTTTTCAGTTCTTCAGATGTTAACTCTCAGAGGTCTAGTTACGTCGTTGGTTTTTAAGAGTTTCCTTTGTTTTTTAAGGGTTTCCTGCTCTCTTACTGAGACTGTTAAAAGCTAAATTAAAAAAAAAAAACTACCTAGAAAAGGCCTCAAGCGATTCTCTGCAGTAGGCTTGAGCACACAGATGATAGATGCCATTTCAGACTAAGATTGCTGCTAGGTCTTAAATTTTTCTCAAACCCACTTTTTTTCCCAAGTAAAAGACAGAAGTAGTAAATACCTCATTCGCAGAAAAGGGTAGCAGTAGGAACATGAAAATGTAGGCAAAATAGCAGTTACCAGTTTTGTAGACCTGTGCAGAGTTAAAAATGAAAGTGGAAAAATGTTTAATGCTTTGCATTCATCCATGCCTCTAAACAGAGGCAGTATAATAGATGCTAGTGTCGCCATCCTATTTCTTTAGGAAAAAGCATGGATAGCTTTTCCTAGTACATCATGCTGACATACACAAACCTATCTTATGTTCACTTTGCTTAGGAATTAACTCTTTATAATAACTCTTTTCCATGTGTTACTATAAAGTCCAAAGGGAAGAACAGCTATTCTGAGGTGTCTTCTTTTGTAATATTTAAATTACTAAAAGGAGAACAAAAAACTTAGTCAACTAATGAAGCTTGTTTACTCTGAACTCTCTGAGTGGCAGGATTTTAGCAACTGAAAAGGGTGAGTTGGGATGATGTTTTTTTTTTCTGCTTTTGGGTTATTTCTGCAGTTTCAATTCCAAGATTCTATGACCTTAATAAAATCTAAGGCGTACTGTGTCCGTCTTGTACAATTTCTGTCTGCTCTCCGGTTACGCGTTTCCTCAAAATACATAGGAACAACTTATTTGAAACGTCCTCCGCTCTGCCCAACTTGACTGAAAGATCCCTGTGCTCCCTAAAGGAAAGGGACGCGGTCAGCGTTTCCTAAACCTTGTTTCCTTAGGAAAGTAGCTAGAATAATTTAAGTTTGGTTGACTTTTAAACGCTCAAGATGATGTAATTTCAAGAACGTGAACAAAATTTAGTAACTTCTTGTCAATTTAATGGTGTTTTAGTGAAGCTTTTCACTCTTAATTTAAGAGCCTGGAAAATTCAGATGTAAAGATAGTTGCCGCGATGAAGAATAACTTATAACTGATAGAAGTACCCCAGAAATAAACTCTTTAAATTTTCTTTTTCAGATATGAAGCACTGTGCCCTGTAGTCTTTATTTTGCTGGTTCTCACCACTGGAGGATGGCTGCTGTACCCTGTGAAAATTGTTCTGGTTGGTACCACTATACACAAGTCAACCAACCTCTTGAAATCAGCTGCATGTTGCTCCTTATTATGCTTGGAAAAGTGTTCCTTGATCTCTTCATATTGCAGGTTAAACAGAAAAATGTGAAAGTTAGTTTTATGGGATACTTTTGTGTTTCACTAGCGCTTCTTGATTTCACACTGCTGATGAGCATAGCTTTCATTTTGTATTTTGAGGACTTTGCACTTTGGGGTGTAAGATTTACCGAATACCACATCTGTCTGTTCACTCAGGTAATTTCTCTTACGTATGGTATTTTGCATTACCCAGTGTATCTTGTGGCTGTTCTGGATTATTATGTGACTATAGCCCGAACCTCTCTCTTTCCTAAAAGAGGTCAAAGATTATTTTATGTATTTGTTGTGGTTTTTATATGGATTTCAGGGTTTTCTTGTATTCTGAAAGTTCCTGCTATCTCTGAAGAACTAGAACGTCAGAAACACTTTTCTCCTTATCAGTGTCCTTTCTATGTCAGTGTGCAGAGCTACTCAGTCTCATTTGCCATGCTGCTTCTCATAGGCATGGCTCTTGTGGCTTGCTGGAAGGAAGTTTTAATGATGCTACTGTCTGTCAGGATAGTTTCCTTTGCCAGTCAGCCTGTTCTGATGTTCTCATATGCATCTGAAAACAACGGCACTTGCTGTAGGCGGCAGCTTCTGACCAGACTTCTCATCTGTTTTCTTGGCACTTGGGCACCTTTTGTTCTTCTTCAAATTATCATTTTGTCTCTTGGTGCTCAGATTCCAGCCTACATGGAGATGAATGTCCCCTGGCTATACTTCATCAACAGCTTCCTTATTGCAGTAGCATACTGGTTTCGATGTCATGATGTTGAATTGACAGAGGAGATATGGTCTACAGATCCATTTGTCAGCTGGAAATTCTGCTTTACGCCATTTAACAATGAAAATACAGAGCCAGCTGAAAAGCCAGGCACAGTAATTGTAATCTGTTAACGAGCTGCTGACTGAAAAGACTGCAAATAAGTGCTGTACAACAGAAGTGTGTTTAGTGCTCTGACATTCCATGTCCTTCTGGATAGTACAAAGAAACGCTCCTGAGCTACAATCTCTGGAAAGAAGTCTAACATTCACCAATATTGTAATGAATATCCCACCATAATGCAGGACACTGCACATTTCCTCACTAGTTCTTGCACTGGAGGTGCTTGCTGCACACTACAGAATTAAAGTCTGGATTTAAGACCCTGCTCTTAAAAAACAAGTTTTCAGCTGAATTTTGTTTCTTACTGGTCTCTGACGCTTGCTTTAAACAGAGTAATCTCAGGTTTTATAGTATACAATGCAATAAAGTTTTCTAGACTGGAGACCTTATCAGTTATGTTTACGTGTTACCTACTGTCAAAGGCTCAAGCAAGTTCTGTGGCTTGCACTTTCTTGTTAAAGTGTGACTTTTCTCAGTTTGATTTAAATTAAGTTTTCTTGTCTGTTTTAAGGGGGATACCTTGTTTTAGTTAATGTAAAGCTACAACTCCTGCAAAAATAAATGCAAACTTTGTTTACATATTATCAAAAATATTTTAAGATGTGAAGGTGTTGAGACTAAAGGAAAGATGATGTTTCATTATATCTTTGCTACTGCTACTCTATATAATATATATGTGTGGGTATTAAAGATTAAGCACATTACTGCCAAATTGAAACTCTTACTGTTCTCAGACAGTAGTAATGCTAACACTGGAAAAAAATACAGATGTGCATGTGTTTAATGCATGAACAGTGCAACTGAATTCCCTATCCTAGGCAGATGTAAGTGAGCTTAGAAGGCTAATACCAAAGATTAAAGAGGAGGTTAAACTAGACTTATTTTAGGACCGAAAGTACTTCAGACAAACGTAACCCCCTTAATTTCAAAAGGAGCCTAATTCAATAGGGGAAAAATATTTAGATTTTCAAGTTCTTGCAGTTTTATAAAGCCATTGATTTAATTTATGGAAGACAAATAAATGATACACAACCAAAATAGACAAATGGAAGTAGCATTTATTTCTGAAGCACTGAACTCACAATACAATGTCATATTGAAATATAAACTATTAGGTAAGTGATGCTGGAGGTTGGTTAATCATTCACTCGGACCCACAGGGAACAATGGTATCACACAAGAATACTCAGTAAGAAAAATATGCAGATAACAAAAGGTGCAATTACAAGCAAGTTTAAGCAGCATAGTATAAGGTGCTTCGTTTCAGCATTTGTAGCATCAGTTCATCCATTAACAGACAGTTAGTTTAAAGAAATCTCACTTCTACAGATCATAACAAATGAGAATCTAAAATTCATTCACATGCTAGTTGGTAATAGCAAAGTGCTTTTTTAAAAAAAAATGATTCACAAAGTGAAGATATTTTACATAGTTCACTGTGTGCTCTTCAGCTGTAAAATTTAAGTTATTTTGGGTTACCATTTACATTATTACATGTCAATTATAGACACAGATCTAATTGCAGAATTTAATGCTACGTATGCTAAAATCTCTTATAAAATATTCCAGTATATCACTCCATGATAAGAATACACAATCACATATTTATATCTTATATATTAATTTTTTATTTCTGCAAAATATCAAATTCCAATTATCATTCTGATTTATTACTTCACCCCACATAGTGCTTCTTTCATCCACAGTGTGTCATAAATTTCTTTGAGGTTTCAGTAACAATGTTTTGGCGATGTAACCAAAAGGAGATGAGCCTTTTTAAAGCAGTAGAAAAGGGTGCGGGGAAAACCTACTAAAAAGGCAATCAAAATGACAGTAAATTATCAATAACTGAATTTTAAAACTAGTGCAATAAGAGGAGGCAATATTTAACAACATAGTTTGAAATGTTTGGCACCACAAATTATTTCATCCTGTATGCTGAATAATGTATTTTGAGAAACAGTTCTACATCCATGTAAAAAGTAGGAAAACATGTACAATGTTGACCTTGAAAAACAACCATGAAGCTGTCAACCCCTGCTCTCAGTTTCTGATTGCTGCGGTTTAGTGCTTGAGATGCTATAGAGTAAGCCCCATCTAAACATGCTTCTGGACACAGCATTTCTTCAGGTTTTATATAAACCGGATACCCACTGAAATGAGACTGACAAAATATTTACAAAACCTAATTCCATTTAAAAACCAGCAAACATCTCAAATATATTAATGCACCAGGCATTGGAGAAGATCCTGAAGTAATTAACCCCTAAAGAGGCAGGTGAAAATACCTCATTTCAAATTTACTTAACAGCAGATGAAGGTGAAGTTATTCTCAAGAATATAGATTTCAGATGTTTGTTTCATGTGGTTAGTCTCGTCTTTCAGATTCATTGATGTATACAGAAAGGAATTTTAAGAAGTTGAGTAAGACTGCCGATATATTTACTAATGTGATTCAGATTCTTAAACCATAATTAAGTTTACACATTCCCATTTATCCTGAGGTGGCAGAATTCCCCTAGTTGCTGCAGTCCTTCTAAAGCCATTTTAAATTTTGAGATCATATTTTTTTATGTGGAAGCCACAACATGCAAGCAAAGCAAGTATTAAGTATACTGTTGTTCCATCACATCGCTGTATTATATCACATCCTTTCTCCCATACTCTTTGGGAAAAGATGTCAAAAAATATCAACTGTTGGGCTGCTGTTACACCCACCGAGTAGATAATAGTGGCACTGTGGGTCTTCATTTAGCATCCAACTGTGGAGTCTTAGCCTGGGGACTATTTTAAAATATATAAGTACTAAGTTTCTTTTTAAGTCCATTTTTATCCTTGACCTTTTATCTAGGGAGGTACCTGATCCAGTCGTGAAGTGTGATCTGTATCCATTTATCCTCCTAGCGGACAAAGTCTTTTCCTCTCTTTGTACGTTATTTTCTTTTATCTGGTGGTTCTGGGAAAGTCGTAACACTGACTTTTAGTCTGGCGATACAACCATACACCATTACTTTGTAGAACAGGATTACAGTTTCACTGCTGGACTTAAAAGAGGAGAGAAACTATGTTATGAAGGTGGTAATATCTGAAATCATTAAGAACTAGAGACAACCACTGCTCCATCATCTCCTCTATACATTGCTGCTTGTGCTGTGCAATTAACAGCCTTAAGCCTTTCAAATATTTTACAGTCTTTTAGCCACTGTTACCAGGAACATCAAATAATCCCATGAGAATTAAAGTGTTAACCCTTAATGATAAACTTCTGTACTCTTCTCATATCAGAATACCCTAAAAAAATCAAGTCGATTTTAATGAGCTTTCAACTATATGCTATACGCTTTCAAGCTATATGCTTTCAACTCTAAATGAAAGTGTTTGGCACTCATTAATAAAACCCTTCACTCTCCTTATACTACCCTTCATCTTTCCTGATCTGTATCAGTTCACTAAGGTTGTATCACAAAGAATACTTAAAAGGGAAGACGCTCTCTAGAACCTTTCATTATTCTTTCAAACATCTACTTTACAAAAAGCTGGCAGAGAACGTCAGCATCCTGGCTGCCAACACACTGACCAAGTAGCAGAGGCCAACACAAGTCTTCACCTGGGTTGAGCCGATTTCACCCATAAAACAGATATGCCTCATGAGTCAGTTACGTTTGTGCTTCTAGCCTAATCCCGTTGTCAGTAAGGATACCCTGATGTAGTACGCGTGAAGAATGCTATAATCCTTTCAACAACCCTATGTAACAATACAGTGCTTTTTCTGCACAATTAAAATACTCCTTAAATGTTATGCATTGCACTTGATCCTTATTCTCTGAATGTATAGTTGTGCTCAAATTACAGTTCCTTCCAGATGGAAAAATCTCTTCGGATCATCTTCTTTTAGATCCTCACAGTACAATCACTCTGGGTAATTTAGCAGGAAGCTACATATGTGCTGGAAGTTTGTTTAAGATTTTTAACTTGAAACCTGTTCATAACACTGATTGCCAGCATTGTGCTTTGGAAAAGCTGGATCAGCAGCTACAGAAGTTAGGCTAGAAGCTTACTACACATCTTCAGTTATAAGCATATTTTATAGTCTCCTCTTTGAATTTTGTTTTTTTCCTTCCACTTAGCCATATGAGATCAGGAAATCATACGTACAACTTCCAAGTGAATGAGGACATGTGTAAAAGTTACCATGTAGGTTACACACTTGCAGACAGCTTAGGATAAGGGCCTTGAATAAACGTGAAATTTCTAACCGTGAGACTCAGGACACAAGCATTATACAAATTGCTCTAGCCAACACAGGAGACACTCACAGTGCAAAAAGCACATTTAGAAATCTATATGGAGAAGAAAATGACACATTGTAGAGCTCCGCCTAAATTATCAAGATGGTAAAAATGAACCAGCCGGACTTACATGGATTAGGGTACATCTTCACTACACAGTTACCGTAGGTGACTGGCATGTCAATACTTCAATCTAATTAACTGAGCATGGTTGTAAGTATTCCCACAGCGAAGGTTTCTCCACACCGCATGCGTCCTAACTGCTTTTGTAACCAATAAACGTACCAGACTCCTACTGCAGGATACAGACCATCCATCCAGTTGTTAGACTATGTTAGGGACAGCTTTCCGATAAAGACATGGACATAGCATCTAGACAACAGGCACTTATTTGCATCATCATTTCTTTTTAATAGTACTATTTTCAAAGCAATCCAGTGGATATAGCTATATAGGACCTTTGGAGTCTAACTGAATTCCCATGAATAAAGCCAAATTCATTTAAAATGAACTTAATTTAAGCTTAGCTTAAATAAATTAAGCATTAAATGATTCCACACTTCTTTTGCATACTCTGTCTTCACAATATTTCTTGTCCGACACTACAGCTCATTGTTCAAAAGTGACTTAAAAATTAATTCACTGTGACCAATTAATAACACCTTACACTGAAATTACGCATTTATAGCTCCGTTTGCTCCATGCATCCCTATTCCATTCAGCATTCAACAGAAGCAGAATATTTAAAACAAAATATGTTAAACTGTTAGTTTCTTTCCATCTCTAATAGAGTACTTTTGGTGTAAAGTTAAGTATCCTAACAAGACTCTGTCACGGAGTTATCTGCAGCCTAGATCAGTGAGAAAAAGCCTGGCCAGTGGGTGACAACTATCCTTCAAAATACATGCTAACAGCAAATCTCTAAGTAATACTGGTAGGATAAACCTGCAAGCTTTTGCATGCATGCCTCATTTAAAGTATAAACAGCCCCAGCACAGCCAGGAGAACTACTCATGTTTTAAATTATGTAAGTGTCTAATTAGTTGCAAGACTATGACTCACAGCACAAGCCGTCAGTGAATTCTTTGATTGCCTAGAGTTATTCAATTGGTCAATGTACAGAAAATTTCTTAGGCTACTGAGCTGTAAGTTTCTGTATCAATACTGTGGTACTCAAATGACAGCAAGTGTCTGAAATAGGCAGCAGTTTTAACCAGTATGTCAGGCAGTGACACTCTGTACCTAACAGTCTCATTAACTTCAGTTCAAACCATAGTTAAGGAAGAGTTTTATAGCTGAACATTTTCTTATAGCTAACATGAAGATGAAAAAGAAGTGATCCAAAAGCTATTATAAACCTGCTCAAATACTTATTGCAATCCTATTTCTTTTCTCTCACTGCCTTATCTGCATTTAGGATGGACTGATCTGTTCTATCCAAAAGACAAGACTCCCACTGGTTTGTTCATTTGTCCAAAAAAGCAGTCACAGAGAAAAACTGTTCTTATAGGAAAGAAATGGGGAAATGCACGCTTGCAGGATATAAGCCTTCTATTTGAGATAGCTTATTAACACAAACTTAACAAAGGTTTCACCCTCCATCAAGAAATACAGTTCTAAAAAAAATGAATGGATCGGTGGAGAAAGACTGGATGCACAATATAGTCTGTTTAAAAGTCCTTCAAACACTCTGGTGACCCAAGGCAACTGACAAGGTGGTTATTATTTTACTCTATATATAAGCAAGGTGATCTAAAGTCTTATGAAAGTGAGGCAATAGGGGATGGCTGGGAGAAGTTGGCAGTCCATTGTCAAGGCTCCTTTTCAAACAAGCAGCAGCCCAGAGCTCCCAGAGAGCTCTAGTCAACTGAGGTGGCCTCGTTCCCTCGCAGGACTATTCCGTTTATTCCTGCTCCGAAGCAGAGTTGCTGAGTGATATGAGCCAGACGAAGTAGGGGAATTTGCATACATATTTTAAGCATTCAGGGGCATTTCTTTAAAACACAGAACAGAAAAACTGGGAAGCTGAGACAGGTATAGTAGTTATAACTGTACTGGAAGAAATCCTGACAGTCACATTCAGCCCAGTGCCCTGGGTGAGGGAGTCGCCCTGAGCTAACGCCGAATTTACTTTAGTAAGATAAGATGGAGATCAGTGAAGGTAGAGGGATTTTTTTTTCTTTTTTCTTTTTTTTAAAAAAAAAAAAAAAGAGAAAGGGAAAGAAAAAGCCACCCAACATGTATCCTTTTTGAGCTAAGATCCCATGGTGTCCTGCGTTCCTTCCTGGTCCTCCAGCTGAAAACTGTGACATGTAGCACATAGCAGCAGCATTCTGAAGACAGAATTAAAAACCCTGGGAAATGCAGCTAATGAAAGGAATTTGCAATAGACCCATCTAGTGGGAGTGCTAACAAATACAATTAAAATCAGCAATACTTCCTCTTTTGGGGGACAATCTAGTTTAATTTGTGGGGAAAGCCATGGAAAATTCCTGTATAAGCCTGGGAAAATCTCACTGATTTGAACAGAAACAGAAGTGATTTGTACACAAAATGGTTCTCGAGGAATTTTACTCCCAGTATTGTATTGCTTTTTGAGTAAATTCAAAAGATCCTGAATTAGACCTTATTTGCATTTGAAAGTTTTCCAGCCTACTTCTATGTACATGTGTGGTATTTTTTAAATTGACTTTATTGACACAGTTATACTAGCAAAAACACTGGTACGTGTGCATTTCTATCTATCTAGATTAGTACAGCTGTGCCCGAGTTCCTACTTCACACCAAAATAGCTGAGGCAGAAGAACTTTCAATACGCGTAAGGCCCACATTCTTAGTTGCTATACGCATGAACATTTAAAGCATAACTCGCTATTTGTGGCTCTCCAAAAACCACAGAAAATGTAGTGTACCGGAAGGAACCAGAACAGACATGTGCATTAATCAAGCCTACTCTGAGCTCCTGGCATCTATCAGTAATTAGTCTGACTTTCATATATAAACACTAGCTGTAGAAGTGCTCCTGAAAGCTGTCTAATATACCAAGATTAAAACAGTCATGAAATTATCATGCATGTAACACCGCTGTGATTAACTGCAGGTCTGGATAAGACTCACAACATAAGTCCACATTTTCAAACATGCCTTAAGCCATTATCAATTCACATTTACATATACCTACTTTTTACATTGTCAAAGTCAAAGAACAATATGATCAGAAAACAGATTAAAAATTAGCCAGTGATATTTTTGTATAAAAATAATAAAACTTTAAGACAAAAGCCAAAGGATAAATATCCAAGATATCTTTAGTCTTCTATTAGCTCATCAAAACAGAATGTATCCTCTAGAACATGTTACATATATGCTACACAGTGTATCTTACAGAAATGCTACAAATGAGAACATACTGTCTCCATTATTTGAATATCTTTCAAATGAACCCTGCCAAACAGTGAACCTTCAATTAAGTCTGTTTGACAACACTAACTGAATGAAGATAGAAAAAAAAAAATTAGAAAGTGCTCCTCAACTTCCCTCCAAAATAAAGCCAGACATCAACTGATTCTTCTCAAGCCTTTGGTGCCATTTGGTTTAGGGCTCTCATCATATATTATCAAGTAACAGCAATGGGTAGTCCTAACTTGCAGCTTCAGTGGTTGATAACGATATTAGTAACACCCTCTATTAATAAGCTCAAGCAATTGCAATTAAAAGCGGTGATTCTATTGTTGATCTCTGGAAGATATCGGTAGGAAGTCTGTTAATAGAAACAAATTGATAGTCTATTAAAGGAAAATGAAGCACAGATTCTTCTGCAATCTCAGCTTACTCTTTAAGGACATCACTTATCAATCTACCTGTGACAAACCTTCCTTTCAGCCAGTGTATGTGCATTGATCTAGGCCAGCAGTTCTCAAACTTTAGATAGACTCTTCTTTTCAGGAATAATTTAGGGATCCCCCTGCATACCTCCATATACAACCATCTCTTATGCACTCATTTGCATAAAACACTTTTATTTGCAGACTCACATACACGTATTTAAATTAAATATACATAGCAACTCACATA